AATTAAAATTAATATATTTTTATTGAAATATATATTTTATTTATTTATAAAAAATTGCCTAAATATATATAACAAAAAAAGAAAAACCAAAAAAAATTAGTTTTTATTTTTTAAAAAAAGTTATGGGTATGAAGATTACCTATACCTATTAAATACCTGTGGGAATAGAGATAGGGATAAATTTAAAATACATATTTCGTATAGGTACGATGATAGGTATAATATAAAATTTAAGGATGAGGTGGGGGAATACTTTACCCAGCCAATACCCTACCTATTAACAACATGTCTTTATTTTTTGTTGTTATTTTCATGTCTAAGTCTCTTCTTTGCTTTTGGTTGTTTGTTTAAGTTTGTTTTATATTTTGTGTTTTTATTTAGTTTCATTCTTTTAATGTGAATTTTTTTATTTTAGTTTCCGTTCTTAAGGAATATGAGTTAAGTTGTTTAAATTATTGTTCAATTACCTTAAAACATTATGTATTTGCTGATAAACCTACTCCACCTTTTGTTTTTTAAATGTTATTGGCATGCTAAGAATAGTAAGGTTTGTCGGTGCTGTTGAAATCTCTATTTCTAAACAAACAATTACTAAACATAATGTCTACATTTAGGAATTGAGGTTAAGTTAAAAAATAAATGCTTAAATGTGCTCATATTATTTAATTATTAATCAATTATTTTACTTAAACTATATTCTCCTACTTTAGTGGCCACATATTGAAAGTTATATTATGGGTTGACCTGGTTTCAAACATTAAAGAAGAAGAACTATTTAACAACATAACAAATCCTATTTTTATTTTTGTTACCACAATAATCAAAAACTATAAGAGTAATCCTTTTTTTGCCCTACTTTGCATTTGAGTTGTATTTAGAAATATATTTTAATTTTTTTAAATTTAATGTTTTGACTTTCATTGTTTGACTTGAGACAATAAAATGCAACCATAGTTGAATTACTCAATTCTAATCCTACAAAAATTCAGGTATTCAGTGACTTAAAGAGTTTCAAATTAATTTATTTAGAAATTCTTACTCTTTTGAATCAACACTGTGCTCAGATGCAAAATTCTTTAATAAGGCCAAAATCATTGAGATAGATTCATCCATAGGATGGTTCTACAATGTATGCAACCAATGCTGGTAAAGCATTTTATAATGCGCTGGATTGTATTGGTGTCTAAATAATCACGACAAAAAACTACTACTGTTAATGTAAGAAATCTTTGTTGTTGTTTTTTTTTTTTAATTCTATCTTAATTCATTCTTCAATTTTGCTGAAATTTAAAACATTTTCATTTCTTTTTCATTGAACATGTGTGGATTGGTTAAGATCTTAGAGATTATGCTTAGTACATCATTCGATGGATTTGTTAAAACTTACCATTTATGTTTGTGAATTGAAATGTGCCATTTATCTATAGAATATATAAGTTTCAAGGCTCAAGTACTTCTTTTATAACTTGTGTTGCTACACTTATACCTAATTTGTTTCTTGAACTTTATTGACTCCAAACTTGAACCAAAAAGTATATGAATGTTGTAACTAGAATAATTGCTACAAAATTATAATACTATTGCTTGCTAAGGTTTTGACAATAATTGTAGGAAATAATTTCTTTCTTCATAATTTTTACAATGAATTGTCAAGAGATCTAATGTGGGAACTGAACCTCATCCTATAGAGTTTTGAAACATGTTGCTTTATTTATGTTGTTCTAAAAGAAAATTTGTTGGCACCTTAACATAGTATTTTGTGTTGTTGGTAGTTGCTGGCCACAAAATTTGAATTAGATTGTTATAGCAAAAGAATGTTACCAATAAATTGTTCTATGTTGGTCAATTTCTTAAATTTAGATTGTTCTACCAATTATACAAAAACAATAAACTGTTTTTATCAACTTTTAATTTTTTATATCTAACATTTTCTCTTACAAATTCTTATCAGTGAGCTACTACATTTTTTGTGTTAGCTACTTTATATGCTCTTAACATGTTTACATAATACATCTAAAAAAAGAGAATTTTGAAAACTATTAAAACAACTTATTTTTCTAAAAAATGCAACAAATAATCTTTGGTTTTGTTTTTTAGTATTATTTAAGTAGTTTTTCCATAGTTACGCCTTTTTCTTTGCTTCTTTGTTAACAAAAATCTTATTTTGGTAAATACAATATCTTTTAAGCAAACATCTTTGTTGACTTTATTATTTACTTTTTGATATGTTCTCTTCTTTGTTGAAAATAATGCATTTAACTATGGTCATGATCTTTGTGGGCAAGGTTGTTCTAATATTTTCATTGGTTTATGTTTATTTGATGATGATTTATATTTCTTTAATTTATGTTTGCTAAGTTTTCTACCGATAATCTTGAATTTTTTACAGCCTCAAATTAAACATGCTGATAGAAGATAGTATATGATAGATGAAATTGTTAGCATTCACCAAACCAGTTGAGAAATTTACTAACACAACATGTAATTGGGTCACTTGACAAAATGACTTTTCCAACACCAATCGCCAAACTCATCAAGCAAGAGTAGACTCTTACAGTTGGTTTTATAAGGCAAGCCATCAATGTAGGTACACCTTACTTGAACACTGAAGTTCACATTTTGTAAAGCTAAAGTTTGATGCTTATATTTAAATTTAGGACATAACTACTTGTGACAACTAACTAACTATGTTTGTAAGATAAAGTTAAACTTTGTTAATTTTATTGCATTTACAATTAAGTATGTTTATATTTTTAATGTTAATTTACTTTTTTTTTTGCACATAGTTAATAAAAAAGAAATATACTTCCTCAGTGTTGCATGGGTAAAATAACTAGTATTTAACATATATGCAAATACATGATGAAAATTTAATATTTTTTGTCCAATTAATGACCAATCAATTGTTATTTTTTATTTTCATTTTTATCTTTTAAATTATATTATTATACCAAATGTCCTTACAATTTATTTTTTAAAATTTGATTTTTATTTAAAAATGTGAAACAATTTTGTTAATTTAATATAATAAATAAATTTTGTTATATAATATATTAATAAATAATTTAAATAAATTTTACTATTTATTAATAAAATTTATTATTTATTAATAAATTTTATATAAGAAATTTTATAAATGTTAAATAATTTAAATTTTTATTATATATAACTTTCAATCAATATCTTTAATAGTAATTTTATTTTTCATTACAATTCAACTCATCATCATTATTGTTTTTACATTAAAATATATATTTTATTATTGATTTTAATCATATAAATATAATAATCAATCTCACTATCATTATTATTTTTAATCTTATCAAAATTAATTTTACCTCTCCCCAAAATGCAAGCTCATAATATATCAATTTGAGTCATTTATGGGTAGACCTGACAATCCATATTTTCGTATCTTATTTTGTATCATATTTGACACGTGTAATTATATGAATTATTAAAACATGAATACGACACGAATTATAAAATATATTTAAATCATAAGCATAAACAAGACACGTTTATTATATTTGTTATACATGATATAATACGATTAATATGAATAACACTAACAACACTAATATATACAAATACACATGAATAATATTGATATATAAGAATAACAATGATATACATGAATAACATTAACATATATGAATAAATAGTAGATACATATCATCAAACATCATACATAATTCAAGGCATACCAACCTACTAGCTTTAAAATATTTCAAAATTAACAATAATTTATAAGTTACTTTTAATAATATCATATCATATAATATAGAATAAATTATATAAATTCCACATATAATTTAAAATATGCATTATTTTTAATTTCAAATGTATAATCTTTTATTTTAATTCTTATCATTTATAATAATCTCATATTATGATTCATGTTATTAAGATGATCATATAATTTCTTATCATTATAAATATTATTTATTATCATTATAATATATTTTGTATATTTATATGATTTGGATTTGCTTTATTTTAATAATGATCATATTATTGGATGTTAATTGTTATTAATAATTAAATGTACATTTGTCCTTCTAAATTATTTTGTTTATAAGAAATATATTTTTTTAATCTTATTATAAACAGTTATAAAGAATAATATATATTTAATATATTAAAATTTATATATTATATATACATTATTAACATAAAAAAATACTTGCATATTTAAAAAATATAAAAAATTGATACCTACTTAATATGCATTTAGCATATATTATATATATTTAAAATTTAATATATACATTACTACTATAACAATTAGAAATGTATATATAATTATATTAGTTTTTAGTACCAAATCTAAAATGATAAGTTATCAAAGATTAAAGAATAAAATAATGACATTGTATTGATATTATTATTTATATTTTATTTATTTATTAATATAAAAAATAAATTTATAATAATTATTAAATCAGTATCATAATTAAATGTTTAAAATAATATTTTTATGATATATTGAATAACTAATTAAATATCATAATTAAAAAATTAAAAATTAAAATAATCTTTATATGTTTATATTAAATTAAAATAAATATAAAAATTATGTTAAACATGTTTCATTATGTCATGTGTTAAACATATTTTTGTATGATACATTTTATTTAAATATTTTTTTATATTTTATATATATTTAGATATATCAATACATATAAAATATGAATTATATTATATTAAAATTTATATTAATAAAAATAAAAATAAAATATATTTTTTAAAAATACATATATAATCTTTTTCGTGTAGATATTATCCTCGTATTTAATATGAAATTATCATATCTACACGGGAAGACTTCTTGATTCTAGGGTTTGGAAGCAAGTCCGCGACAACATTGCAAAGACGTCATGAGCCTGGAGTGCAAAACATATGACGCAGTGTATTAGTACAATGAACAGAAAAAATCGTTATTAAGCAAAACGACATGAATTATGGGCGTAGAGAGCGGAACTCAAACTGAATTATTAACTGAATAAAAAATGCCCCATAAAACAGATCTCAAGTCCGCGTCCTTTCTTTCTCCTCTCTCAAACACACACTCTCGCAATCCAAACCAATTCTTTTCACCCAGAAATTGACTCTCTGAACCCTAATTTTATCCCTAATATTCACGTGCAAATATCTCCTTAATTCCTTGAATTTTCCAATCTTAGCTCAATTTCAAGCAGAATTCGAAATTTGAATCAGAATTTTGTCCTCAACCGAACGAACTCGGCTCTCAAAATTTTACCTTTTTGCAAGTTTATTTTATTCAATTTTTGCTTAGGATTCGAAGAATTTTTGGAAAAAGTATCGTTCTTTTTCAGCGTTTGAGCTGCTTGGGGTTTAGTTTTTGGAAAGAGTTTCGTTGAATTTTATTGCTCTCAAAGCTGATTGGAAGTAAATTTTGGTTGAAATTTGAAGAATTTTCGGTGAAATAATTGGCTTTACAGTTTCCATCCTCAGAATAGGAGGGCTTTGGACAGGAAAGGTGAGTTTGTTCGATTTTGTGAATTTCTTTGAGTAATTTTAAGAGCTTAATTTTGTGAATTAGGGGTTTCTCTTTTGTGAATTTGACTCAAAAAGGGTTTTTAATATATATTTTTAGGTTTAGTATTAAGGCGGCGATACTGGTTAAAAAATTGTGAAGCTTAATTAGAATAGAAAGTTTGCATCTTTGAATTATCTTCTTAGTTAAGATCTTAGTTTTGGGAATTAGGGTTTTTTTTTTCAACTAATTTACTTGAATTCTTGTTTATTTTTCTTTTGGCTATTTGCCTTTTGCTTCATGAAAAGCAAGTTGCCATAGAGTAAAAGTTGATAATAAAAGCGAAATCGTTACTGAACTAAAAATTAACAAATGACTAAAATAAAATGGCAAATTCTAACATAACTGATCTATGTAAAAGTAAAAAAATCATGTATTTTCTTCTTTGAACAGAGTTAAATTTGTAATGTTTCAAAATCTTATTTTCTTTCGTGATCAATTATGCTTATACAAGCAAAAAAACAAGTAGAAATAGTAACAACTAATTGATACCTCAATAATCGGTGTATTGATGCATAATTAGGAGCAGTAACTAATGCAAATTCATTAAGCCAAAAACCTAAATCACAAATTTTAACTTGTAAAACACCTAAAATACTATCACATTCTTTTGATCTTATTGATTTTGTAGCTAGTTTGAAGCAGTAAGTTACAATTAGAATTTCTATGCTTAATATTTTAAAGGTGTATTTTAAGGTTCATGGGTTCTGGTAGGGTTTATTTTGATAATCCATTGTTGTTGATTCTTTTAATAGTAGTGAGTTTATAGCTAGTTTAGTTGATTGATGTTTCATTTAGCTGAATTTATGACTTCTTTGGATTTTTATTGTTTCCAGGTATTTGTACCTTCTCTTACTCAACAATTTAGCTGCGTGCTTCTGGTTCTTCTATTGGTTTTAAGCATTTAGTGGATATTGAATTTTGAAGCTGTCATGGACTATGCGCTTTCTGATAGCAGTGGTGAGTTGAGTTAAAAGTTTTATTTCAGTTTTGTCTTTCTTTTTCCTCATAAATTTGATGCTTTTGAGATGGAAAGAACTTGGTTTCTTAAGCTTGGTTAATTTATGCAAAAGTTACTTGGCTGTCCTTGGTTAATCTTAAGTAAATATCTAGGGTTCATGAAACATTGCTATTCAGTATAATAGTAGCTTGTATTCACAAAAGGTTCAAACTCCCTTTTTCTCACACCCTGTTTCTCTTTCTCAATGTTGCAATTTCCTTGTCGTTTGGAAGTTTTCTGTAATGTTTATTCATGGGTGGATTGAAGAAACAATGTAACTGGTAACTTTATGAAAGAATCTGTATCTAATCAGATTTTTTGTTGGGTAATAAGGGATATAGAAATGGTAAAAAGATTTCATTATTACTTCTGAACCCTTGCATAGATCTTGTGGCATCCAAGAAGCTTAACTCAAATAATGAATCTTTCTGAGCTGAAACAACTACAGGAACAGATGATGACCTCCCTCCTTCACATCAGAATAGGTTTCAAAGAGGGGGTCGCACTGCTGTGGGGAATGGAAGATCAGCAGCTGTAGGTCCTGCTCCTTTGCCTCGGATGCATGGTGACATTGAAACTCAAATCCATCTCATTGAGCAGGAAGCATACTGTTCAGTCTTACGGGCCTTCAAAGCTCAATCAGATGGTTTAACTTGGGTATTTGTCAAAAATTTTGTTCAATAATTTATCTCATAAAGATTCTCTCATAGGTTTTAAAGCTATAAACCAAATATGTTATCCCTCTCAGGAGAAGGAAGGTTTAATTACTGAACTCAGAAAGGAGTTGAGAGTATCAGATGAGGAACATAGAAAGCTTCTATTGAGGGTTAATGATGATGATGCCATTCGGAGGATAAGGTCTGATTATACTAATGACATTTGCTTCTGAGCTGCTTTTATTAAATACCTAATGACTTCTGGTCATCTCTGCATTTAAATGGAACTATGATCAATCATTGCTGTTAGGGAATGGAGAACAGCAAGTGGGCTACAGCCTGGAATGCTCAGTACTAGTCAACCTATTCATGACCCTGTACCTAGTCCTACAGTATCAGGATCACGCAAGAAGCAAAAAACGTCACAGTCTGTAGCTTCATTATCTATGGCTGCACCATCTCCTGCGCTGCATCCGTCTATGCAACCATCTTCATCAGCCTTGAGACAGGGTCCTCCCCCAGGAGGAAAGGGCAAGAAGTCAAAATCAGTGAGTTAATTTGTTTCAAGAGACATGATAAAAGTTAATGAATGAGATATGCATATTCTATTTTCATCATTTACTAATGATGTATATGCTATTTTGATGCATCCTCAATGAAGTCAATGCAGTACCCTGCCACAAGTCTTCCTGGAAGGCCCCAGGCTCCTAATCGCACTTCTTCAGGGGCCTTTGCAACAAATGAACCTGCTGAAGCAGCGCCATACGATCGATTAATTGGAAGGAAAGTTTGGACAAGGTGGCCTGAAGACAACCATTTCTATGAGGCCGTTATAACAGACTATAACCCAGTTGAGGTATATTTCACAATTAATTATACAGTAAGCTGCTAATCAATGGAGCTCTTTATAATCCTATGTTTCCATATTGGTAGGGGCGGCATGCTTTGGTTTATGATATTAATACGGCAGATGAAACCTGGGAATGGGTCAATCTAAAAGAGGTAGAATTTTGTATTTGAATGCTATTTCATACAATGTATTATTGCTTTGTATGATCTGATTTACCTTCAGTTAGCATGTTACTTTCCATTTTTAACAAAATCAAGTTTTAAGCACATAGCATATTTCTTGGGAACTTTCATGCCATTAATCAGACATTGCAGAATTTATGTGCTTGTCTATCCTTACGTCTTGAACCATATTTTTCCAGAGATATGGTTTATATCTCATAGAGTTACAGTATATTGTCAAGCATAGCTAATGATCAATATGATTTTCATGTATTTGTAACCTGTTGATGTCTGGGAATTAAAAAATTTAGGAGGTTCCCAAGGTACTCTTGCATATACTTTGGTATATGTACTAATACAAATAAGGATCATGTGATACAGTAATATATTTCCAAGTTGTTGTTCCAACTATAACTAAATTCAAGTTCCATTACCAACCAATTTCAAAAACCGTCTGCATATCTTGACAATTTGCTCCCACTATTATCACTCACTCAAACGTATTAAGAGTTTTGCAGTATATTCCAAGGATAGGGTCTATGTTTTGGAACTGTTTTATCTATGGTCACTATACATAACTTTGTACTAAGCTTGTACTATTGCATGCTGAAGTGGTAATTTGATCATTGTAACATGTCTCATTGTTTTTGTTATGTCCTAGGACGTCTTTTACCATCTGTTTATACTTTTTGTTACTTGATGTCATAAGAGCAGTAAGAAGCAAAAAATGGGTATTTATTCATCCACTCCTTTTCTATCATACAGTACAAAATTAGAAAAAGTCCTTTGGATTATGCTTTCCTGCCACTCACTGATTTGTTATATATGTAATGGTAGATATCTCCTGAAGATATTAGATGGGAAGGTGATGATCCTGGAATATCCCGTAGAGGTGGTCGCCCTGGACCAGGCCGTGGGATTAAGAAGTCCATGGCTCGTGGTGGTGTAGTTGCTGGGGCAGGAAGAGGTAGGGGGGTTTTAAAGGGTCAGGCCAGAAAAGATTTTCCTTTGACGCAAAACGGTGTTGGGAAAAAGGTTTTGGGTGATATTGAGATGCTTCATACAGATACTCTAATTAAGGAGGTATAGCTGCCATTGGAAGATCATCTAATTGACTGCAATTGTCACGTGTGGTCTGTACTTTTGTCCTTATTGTGGAAATTTTGAACAGGTGGAAAAAGTTTTTGGAGCAAGCCATCCTGATCCCATAGAGATTGAGAAAGCTAAGAAAGTGTTGAAAGTAAGCATCGATTTCTGATGATTTTCTTGCATTATTTTACACCAGCTATTGCAGCAATCATGATGGATATTTGTCATTGTAGGAGCATGAACAAGCCCTAGTTGATGCAATTGCGAGGCTAGAAGATGCATCTGACGGTGATAGTGGTAATAACTAATTACATATAATTATGATATATAATAATAGTTAAAATAAGGATGCACTATCATCTGTTGTATAATTTAATTGTAGCTTTTGGATGGTCAGTTTACATGTGGCAAAGGTGTACAAATTTCCAATTAATTATTGTTTTCCTCCCCATTACCATTCTCATAGGAATGAATGCGATGATACAAATTTCAAACGGGCGAGAATAGAGCATGTATAGCATAGCTTCTGTCTTAAGCCTGCCTCATTATTTAACTTGTCAATTAACTGTTGTTCCTGCAACTTCAATAGCTGCAAGATGAATATATAGTGAAAAAAAGAGAGAAAATTGTGACATGTTTAAGCATATGTGACCTCTGATGTGCTGGCAAGGGAGTTTTCATTACCTGAATTATTTATGGGGGCATAGGGCTCAAAGCAGTGAAAAGGTCTTCTAGCTTTATTCCTTAGGAAAGAATGGCATTTGTTATTTTTATTTATTTGTTTGGCTTAATAGCAGATGCAGAGCATCATCGGTTTTCACAAGGCCAATCAATGGATCAAGAAAGAGCATGGAGAAAACGGCAGTACGATGAAATGGGTGATGGTAGGATGGTAGAAGGGTCTGATGGCAATAAATGACTGACTGACGAGAGATGAGTCAGCACAGAAAGATGGGAGGGGTATTGACATGCGATTTTAACCACAGTTTTTGTATATCCAGTTGCAGTAGCATCTGCCTCAAGTGTTTGTATCTCGTTTTCCCCGTCACGTTCTACCAGCTGCTAGGCATTTGACATTTCATTGGTTCATACATCTTTTCGTTAGCAGTCTGATCGGGTTTAGTCTTTATTGTAGCCTTAATTTAACTCTAAGCTAGGAAAATGCTTGTATTATGAATTTTTTTTTTGAATGCAGTGAATACGTCCTGATCATGTAAAAGTTTGCAAGTGTTCATTTAGTGTGTTTTATCCACTCCTTGATCTTTTTTTATTAGGTTAATATTACTAATAATCCATGAATATAATAAAATATTTAATTTGATATTTTGAATTTAAAAATTTTTTAATTTTATATTTAAATTATAAATTTATTAATTAATATAATATTTATTTTTAACATCATTGTTTTAAATGATTATAAGTGATTAATTGTTTTGGAAGTATTATATTAATTAATAAATTTATAATTTAAATATTATATTAAAATTTTTTAAATTTTAAATATTTTACTGAATATTTTATTATAATTTAGAGATTATTTGTGATATTTATTTACATTTTACTTGAATTTAAAGGTTGTTTGTGATATTCATTTGGTTTGCGAATAAATTTGCGACCAAATTCAGCAGGAGCCATTTTTTCACTTTGATAAGACAGCATTGAAACCAGAGATTTAATCCTATAGATATTGAAACCAGCATTTGTCCCTGCTCAAACAAATCAGTAACCAGCACTAAAGATATTGCACAGCTATCAACTCTATAAGAAGAATGAAAAATGAATATTGACCTGTAAAAAAGCACCCATTTATCTCTTAACAGTGACACAAACTCAATGCAAAAAGCAAGACCTATTTTTTTCAGCACATCAGTTTTCTCTACAACATTGTAGCCAAGAAATTTACCAGGATACACCAAGCAATCTATGCACAAAACTATAAAAAAAAAAAAAAAAAACTATAAAAGCATGTGATACCTCAAAATGATCATTTTTAATATATAAAACCATGACTTTTGAAAATTTCAATTGCATAATTAGCAGACTTAAAACTCTTCCCTTGCTATTATTAATGGATTGCCTCCAACTAAGACCAATACTTGTGAGTACGGAATTACACCGGCAGTGAGCACAAAAAACCCATAACAAATCGATAACTTATCTTTATTGAAGAAAAACTGCATATCAACTAGTTCATTTACCACTAAAGGAAATAAGTGCGGAATTACACCAGCAGTGAGCACAAATACTACACAGAAAGCCCATAACAAATCAAGAAGTTATCTTTATTGAAGAAAAGCTGCATATCAACTAGTTCATTTACCACTAAAGGAAAAACATCAGTCAAACGCATACAATAAACAAGTAATTTTTCACCAACTTCACGCATAGAAAGGAAACACACTCACACAGTTGCCTTGAACTTGGCCTGTAGTAACAATCCAGGCAACCCCTTACCTTTAAAGCAGAGCATGGCAGGGAAACAGAACTTGTAAATTTGGCTTAGAACTAGCCAAAAATAAGAACTCAGGCACCTTCACCTTTATAAATAAAGTGAAGTATGTGGAAAAAATTGCTTCCCAAATTGCCTAAGGCTCAGCCAATAATAAAAATACAGGCATCTCCCCCCCCCACCTTTACTTATAAAGCTAGTGCTGATATTACTCTTCATACATCAATGTATCCGAGGGACAAAGCCTTTGATCATTGCAGATTGTTTTTATATCTACAATAAAATCAGGGAGGAGGAGATGAATTTAAAATCTCCCATTGGCAAGGTGTGGCTGCCAATAGGCTATTGTACTATATCAGTATGTTAGTTGACCAACCAGGACCCTACCACTCAAAACATCTAACTTCAAGTTTACGAATAACTTGGTCTCAAGCACCCCTTCAAGTAAGTTTCATCCATTTTTTGATGGCGATGGGAACAGCTTTCAGAGATGCATGCTTTCCAAAAAATAAGGAAAAGATCAAAGCTCCCAAGAAATTATTGCCTAAAACAACTGTAAAGCAGCCTCTAACATTTATTGTATTTGATTTCTCCAAATTCAGAAAGTACTGATCATAAAATGTGAAATTATTACTAACCAAAACAAGATCACGAGTGACTCTGAATATCATCCTTAGAAAAGTAAAAGTTTTTAGCAACAAACAACACTGAAATCATTGATAAGCCTAAAACCAAAAGTACCCTTTTTAATCAAATTACATGATTAGCACTTTAGCAACAGGTTAGACTTAAATCTGCCTATAAATCATAGAACTTGTCTAGTCAAGATCCCGAAGTCAACTTAGTTTTTTTTCTTCCTTTTCAAAGTAAATTATGCACATAATCTAATACCTATTTAATGGAATCTAAATTCTAAACAAACAACCTAATCAGTACCCAAAACCTAAAAATAATTCACCATAGCAAAACCAAGATATTTGAAAAAAAAAAAAAAGAAGAAGAAAGGAAATGTGAATAATTATATTATACCTGCAGAAGAGCTGACCAACAAGATCTTGTCAGAAGAAAGATTTCGAGAAACCCAATTACAGACAGCAATAACATCCTTGAACTCAGCAAAACCTGTGAAAGAAGCTCTTCCAGTTGATCTTCCAACTCCTCTCATGTCAAAAGTAACAGCCTTGTAACCTTTTTCAGCTAACCCAGAAGCAATCCCCTTTAAAAGAGCCTGACAACCACCCAAGATTGGGTATGGATGGACAAGAACTATTACTATGTTGTCTTTGATCTCTTCTTTTGCTTTGAAAAATCTTGTCCCGAGGTTGACTCTATCAAGAGTTTCCACTGTGCATGACTCCAGTGTGTATTTAGACATTTTTGCAGAGAGTTAAAAGCGAAAGAGTGTGAACGGAATAAAAAGAAAAGTTAAAGCGTTGTAAGTTGGACAACTCAATTCTAACTGGGAGTCATCAAAGTTTTACTTGTTGGGAAGGTTGCTTTGTGAATTGCGAGCGGAAAAACTCTCTGTTTTTCTCAATTTTTTGGATATGGAATATGGACATGGCCATATCCGATTCAGGGATTGGCTACCTTTCAAAGTGCAATTAAAAATGATAACAATAATAATAAATTAAGAATTTATATATGATAGACTATTAGTTATATACTGTAAGTTAATCATTAAGATGAAATCATTTCATTGATGATCCAATATAAATTTTTAAATTAAAATGTTAAAAAAGTTCTTAAATTTTATTATGTTGTTTAAATAAATCTTTATATCTTTGTTATATCTAAATAAACTTTTATTTTTTTATTTTTATCCAAATAAATCTTTATTTTAAATAAAAAATAATTTATAAAGATTTATTTAGATATAAATTAAAGATTAAAGTCTTTTTTGATACAAATTAAAATTTAAAAGCTTATTTGGATATAAAATAAAAATTAAGAGTTTATTTTAATATAATAAAAATATATGGCATTATTTAAATAAAATGATAAAATTAAAAGTTTTCTTATTTATTATTTTAGTCAAATTTTTACTAGCTCCTAATGTAAATACACAAACTTATTTAAAATAATCATTAATGAGTTGATATCTTTTAATTCATTAATAGTGTATAAAATTTATACACTGATAATACTTTAAATATAAAATCTTAAATTAATTAAAAAATATCCTTAAAATATTTTTAAAATTATTATCCTATATACTCCATATGAAATTCTTTTTTTCTTAAAGAAAAGCACGCTAAGCTTTTAAATTTTACAAATAATTTTTCGCTTGTCTAATATTCGATATTCTCCTTATGGAATGAGAGCTTTCTTCTTACGAGAAGGTTTTTAGAGTTTTTTTTCTCAATCTTATTTCTTTCTTCTGAAGTAAACTCAGTTGCTTTGTTTTTAAATTACATGATTAGTTTTTATACTTAAACAAAGGACCAAATTTTATCTATAATAACTCATTCGTATAAATCAAGTACGTCAATTTTTATAGATTGTAAAATTCAAGTGAATCAATCATGCATTGATTATTGACCATAGTGATATGGTAGATGATCTTGATGTTGCATTTTTACCACATGGCGTTCATGTAATTTTTTGTTTTACAAATTGTATCATTGGTCTTGTACTTAGACGAAGTGGCAAATTTAGTCTCTAATGATTCATTTGTAGAAATCAAGCTGTTCAATTTTTATGGAACAAAAAATTTAGTCTAATAAAAAAAAATGGTAGAATTTCTTTTTCAGTTAAGCTAAGATGATCATTGCCTGCGATGACGTTGACTTAAATGATGGGATATATTCATGGAATTTCAAAATATAAAGATGATGGTGTTGCATCTATGTGGGTTTCTTTTATGAAAATTTTGTTTACCAAGGAAATTCTTGAATTTTTTTAAGAAAATTATATTGAAAATTTGGAAATAAAAAAACAAACAAAACAATCCTAACCTAGTCAAATATCAAATCCAAAGGGTTTAGGGAAAGTTGCTTGAAAATTTTGTATACTATTTTTATTGATTTTGAGGATGAAATAGTAAGAAAAATTAATAAATAAAAAATTGTTGTTAATGGATTTGTGGAATGTTTGATGATATACATATATATATATGTATATGAATTTCTATTAAAAATGAAAAAAAATGATTATCTTCCAATAACAACAAATAATCGAAATATTTTCTTAAAAATGAAAAAAAAAATTTTTTTTCTTGAGTTTTTGGATAGCGGTTTTGACTTTTTATATGGTAGTTAGCTAGATGTGGAAGGTAGAAAGAGATTTTCAATAATTTTTGGTTGTTTAATAGGGAAAAATAATGAAATAAGTGTTAGTTTACTTCAAACTTTGGGTCTAGATCTAGGCAATTTGGGAAGGTTTTTCAGAAATTCTAAGCCAATTAAAAGGTTGGAGAGATTGCAAGAATTCTAATTTTTGGATATTGATGAATAGAGGTAAAAGGCAATAAATGAAAATGGGTGATGGATCCAACGAAGAGGCACGACGATCGAAATTTGAGTTTAAAAGCTATCGGTTGGGAAAAAGAAGGAGAAAGAAATAAGAGAAAAGTAAAAGAAAAAAAGGTAAGGGCTTTTAGCTTTCTAGATTTTATAGTAAGTAGGTAAAATGGTGTGTTTAGGGGAAAACGAAAAAATAAAAAATAAAGGAAGGTTAATTTGACTAATATCATAATTGAGTTTGACTTGCTTTAGAAGATCCGACCTAAGTTTTCCAACTCGTCCCTACTAGCATATAGAAATGTCATATGGCTAAAAATACCATATCATTAATTATTATCATATTTTAAAATTTCATGCATATGCCATGTTGTTTAAGTTAATGCAATGTCACCATAATCGATACCCACATAAACATGATTAACAGAGAAATCTTGACACTTTTATCAATTAAACTGAATTTTACAAGCATGAAAGTTAAGGAACTTAATTTGTATAAACAATTCATCCAAAAAAATCCATATAATGCCACATCATCATCTATCATGTCTTCTAAGTTAATGCCATGTCATCATAGCTAGCAACTATATCAACATGACCAACGTAGAAATTCTATCACCGTTACTTAGTGGACTAAATTTACAATTCATAAACATGGAAACACTAGGTTTGTAAAAATAAATCTATCCACCACTTTGTCACTTTACCTAAGTACGTGGACCATTAGTACAATTTGATTTTTTTCGTTTAGTCTATTTTCTTTATGACACCAATCGTTTTTTTGTTTTTTTTTTTTTTTGTGAATCCATCATTTTTTTCTTACATCTAGTTCCTTGTTTAAGATTTATCATTGAAGGTTTATACTTTTCCAATCAACGTTTAAGATATAGTTCATTATTTCTTTATACAATCTACCTTTGCCTTTTAGTTAATTGGGTAATAATCTAAGTAACCGTGTTAATCTAGGTTTTAACTTTTATGAATGAATTGAGAAATTGAAGATTATTTTGACAAGGATGAAAGTCAAAGCAATGCATTATAAAACTTCACATTGATAAGAAAAGTTATGGCAAAAAAATCCTTTTAATTGGAAAAGAGTTTTGAAGATACTGTGAAGCTTATAGTCTTTGGAGATGGCTCCTTACAATAATTCTATTACTTATGAAATATTGATTGCTTGAGCTCTAGAAAAAGGTCCATGGCTAATAATATTACACAACTTGATACTAAAAGAATGAGCCTTAAAATGTATGATAATAAAGATTTATTTTTCAAAGGTCAATTTTTAGGTCCAAATTACAACACCATCTCGCTATATAATTTTCATGAAGTTGAATGTAGTAATGATAGGAAAAAATCTAAAAAAAATTATGGAAATGAAAATTCTTAAAGAGGATGTAATTGGTAATGTTTTTTAGAATAAGATTAGAATTGATACGAGAAAATTTAGCATGACAGCTTTTGGGTTGTTAGGAGAGAGAAGTGAAAGCTTTGGCAAGCCTAAATTAAGTATAAAAATTTGTTAGATTTTTGTTTTGCTTGTGGAAACTTGGGCAACTAGCAAAGAATTATGTAATGAAAGTTTAGAAAACAATGCATGATCTAACAATTCAATGATTTATGCTATATCTATAAGCAGCTACAATGCAAACAATGTTGAAAATAAAGCTTTAAGGGAAGATTAGAAGTTGCCCAAGGAAAACCATGTTGGAATACTATAAAGATTTGTAGAGCAAAAATAAAGGATAAGATGCAAAGAAGGCAATGTTACAAGTTTTGGTGAGTGATCAACATGTGGGATTGGAGAAAGTTAAGGTAGTTAAAGGAAGAGAGAAAAATAAGGGAATTGCTAAAGTACTTTAATGTAGTAATGAGCACTGAAGTTAATTAGAACCCTAACCAAATTCCTTAATTATGTTGAGAGAATCTCTTCCCATACTTTCCCTAGGTACATTATGAAATGATTATGATCACCATAATATTGGTTGTTAAAAAGAAAATGATCTCTAACACTTTAGTTGCTTAGTTTGCCCCACAATTTTCTATCATTTAAATCATTACTAAATCACATGTTATCTCTAGTGTCGTTGGCAAAATATATTCATGTTGTAACTACCATTCCAAGTCAAAGGGCAATAAGCTCATCTCCAACAATGTTTGAGCAAAATCGCACCAGTAAAACAATCCTACCACCTAAGAACCCCTATTAATAAGTTATTTCAAAATCATTTTAAGTATTTAACCATCCACCATTCTTTACTAAAACTCTAGTCAAATTTCATCAACAAGTATCTTTGAAGTAATCAACATTAATTTCTTTGTTAAGCTTTTAAATTTTCCTATCGTAGTAATTTTTTTATCATATCTCAATTTTTTTAAAGTTTTGCACTATACCTAGCATTTTCTTAGTTTGGCTTTATATTGTAAAAAGCATTATTATTAGTGAATACTATTTTTTTTCTTTCTTTTATTGACCTTGGGCTTTTTGTAGGTTGGATAATTCTTTTTATTTTTAAGTAACCATCCATGGCAATAGGGATTATCTCATTTCTTTTCATTTTCAATAGAATTTTTTTTTTATAGTTTGTATATCATGATAGTTGTATCTATTTTCTTCTCTTCTTCAATTAGTTTGCATTTGAAGATTGGGCAAATTACAACCATTTTCTAGTAGCCATAACTTCTATAAAAAGCAAATATCATAAAGTCCTTCATACTCCACCTTTTTCTAATGTGTTCTACCATCACTCTTTTTACTAAGTCTTTTCCAAATTAATGTCAACAAAAATTGTTGCACATTTACCTCTAGCTAAGTCTATTGAAAATATTTTCAAAATATAAAAATTTTAAAGGAAATCATATTAAACTATTAATAGCTTAAGGTAAAGTTCTATGATCAAAAGGATTGATTTTAGACTTAAAGAATCAATGAAAGAAAGCTTACCATAAGAGCAGTCTATTGCCTTAGCAAAAGCTGTCAATTGCCATATACTAGCCTTGGAGAGCAATTTACTGCCTATGTTAAAGGAGTTGACTACTACGCATTCCAAAAAGGTACCAAAGTCTTAGTACAAAACTTAACAATAAAGCAATTGATTGCCAACCCTAGGCAACTGACTTTTATAATTGTAATCAATTGTTCTATCAATTG